TCGGATTATTTCTTTGTTTAAAATTTCTTTTATTTTAGTAATTTGCTTGTTGGATTTGCTCAATAATCCTTTTTGTTTTTCTAATTCTTGGGAGATTTTTTCTTTTTCCGTATCGGATTTTTCTAATAACTCTTCGCTAACTTTTAAGTCGTCAATTAATTGGTTGCTAGTTTGTTTTAAATTATTTAGTTGGCTGTAAGCGTTTCCTAATTCTCTCCTTAATTGCTCATTAATTTGGTTTCTATTGTTTGCCATAAGAATTAGGGTTTAATTTATTAAGAGAGAGAGAGAGGATTTTCATAATATAATAGTTTTTAGTGGATATTTGGCGTATGAACTATTTTTTATTTTTTTGCCTGAGTAATAAACTTGGTATCCAGCATTTTTTTGGTCGATTAATTGCTTTTTCGCCAATAGCTATGAAAAGATTTTAGTAAGCAACAAGAACATTATCTCCACTGCTTAAAATATTCCCCGAATAAAAATCTTTATAAACCAGTCCTTTTTCGTGAATATCTTTTAAACCTTCGGCAGTTAAACTTTAATGAAGCGGTTTAGCTTTTGGGTTGGGTTTTTTGGCTTTTTTTATCGTATCGCTCACATTGGTAATAAATACTGCTTTGGTTTGTCCTTTAATTATTCCGTTTTTGAAATATTGCCGCAAAGTAGCTTGTTTTTTTTTATCGGGAATTAATTGACGAAACTCCCATTTGTGTTGTTGATACAATTTTACTAGACAGTCATCACAAACATAAAGTTTTTTATATTCCTTATTCCCCGTTCAATAGCCTCAATTATTTTTATGACTATAATCGCTAGAACCATAGACATATTTAACTATAATCTTCTTTTTACAATGAAAACAATTAACTTTTAAGCAAGGATTTTTTTCATCTGTCATAATATAATTTTATTTTTAACATACTCTCCATAAAATGTGAATATATAAAATGTGAATATATAAAATGTGAATATATAAAATGTGAATATATAAAAATATTATTAAATATACTGCTATGAAAAATGAATTATTCCAAAAGTTAATAAATCAAATTAATTTTATCCTAGTTAAGTTTAACTTTACTAGTGAACAGTTTGCCGAGGAAATTAATTATTTACTTACTAATTACGAAAACCCCTCATTTAATCCTTCCTCCTTTACCGACAAATTGCTAGCTCGTGTTCAACATCTCTTAATTCTAGAAAATTGAACCACTGAACCGCCTTGTTTTACTAACGAACAACAAGTTCAAGACCTCCAAAGATTACTTCGGATTTTAGACTTAAATGACTGGTTAGAATTAGCCCACAAAACTGACCCTACTAATTACGACCCTTGACCTTACCAGTTAACTCGGGAGCAAACCACCTCCCAACTGCAACAATTAATTCATAGAATTAGGTCTACGCACCTTTCTTTCTTTAATAACCGAGAAGAACCCAACTTACCACCCGTCAGAACTTTCACGAAGTTTAACCGAGATTTTTACTGTCTATCTAAATAACCTTTTGGTTGAGGCAGAAAACGTCCACCATCTCTCCGAAATAGTTGCTTTACGCACTAAATTAGACTATTTTCGCTCCCATCCGCACTGGACTTCCGAGCAAACCCAAGCTGTTGAAAAAGCATATCAACAATTAGGAGAAAAATTAAAAGTTTTTCAACGCCACCAATTTAACCATTGATTTAAGCCAAAAGAAACCTTATTAAAACAATCATTTACAAGAAATAAATCCCCTATTATGCCATACAAAAATACTGAAATAAATAAACTTAAACAATTAATCGAACAAGAAAAAAGAAAAGCCATTGAACAACTTATTCAAAATTTAAGCATAAGCTTGCTTGACATAGTTAGTGAAGAAAGCCGTGATCCATTAATCCTTAATCTTCAAAATATCACTACTTCGCTGACAAATCAATCTATTCCTCTCGCTTTAAACGAGTTATTTGTTGCCCTGAATGGATTAGACACTCAATTAAGCACGGATTTGTCCGAACTTGCTAGACTAAATAATCAATTAAATAATTTGCGAGCGGAAAATCAGGTTGCTACGGGACTTCAACTATCTACTCAAAGTTTAGAAACGAGGTTAGATAGATACCGACAGGAGGCAGAAACTTATTGAAATGCCAATGTTAATTTAGAAAATGAAAATACTACTTTAAGAACGAAGCTAACGAACCAAGAAAAAAATAACTTGCTCAGCGTTGAGGAACTAAATAATCAATTAAATAATTTGCGAGCGGAAAATAGACACTACTCAGCACAATTAAAAGAATGAGAAAAAAGTAAAGAAACTTGGGAAATGCTCGGCACAGCATATTTAGAATTAGAGAGTAAATTAGCCGAAAAAGAGGAAAGCGAAAGGAAATTAGAAGAGTTAGCCGGTGAAGCTAATTGAAACTTAGAACAAGTAAGCAAAGCAAAAGAAGTAGCGGAAAAAAGACTAACGGAACTAGAAAAAGATTACGAAGAGGTTAAAAAGGTAGCCCTAACTGCCGAAGAAGATATTGAAGACCTTAAAAGAGAACACGAGAAAACATTAAATCGCTTCATTCTTGATTTATCGCAAGACGAATTAAAAAAATCCAGAAGAAGTTCTAGTGCTAGTAGTTTTTCTACTTTACCCCCTTCTCCGAAAATAGGTTCAACTTCGGCTTCTAATCCAAGTCCACGGAATACTATTAATTTAGCTTTTGAATTATCTAAGCAACAGTTAACAGATTTTGAAAAACAACGAAGAAATGCCGAATACTTTTCCTATCTCCCCCCTACTTCCTCTACTTCCTCTACTTCCTCTACTTCCTCTACTCCG